GGGGAAAAGTAGATTCTCAGGTGGCAAAGACTCCAGGTTCCCAGGTGCAGTCGAGATCCACAGAACTATAGAAAGCAGGAGCCACTAGGGGGTGGGGGGAGACAGAGGGAAAAACAGACAGCCGGTTGACATATAAAACGTCACCTCACCAGAAACCAAGAAGACTCCAATTAAAATAATAATGCAATACTTCTCCATCTCTTTAGTCTCAACATAAGCAAACACTAAAAGGCATGCTAGTGTCCACTGTTGGCAAGGATGTGGGGGAACGGAAACTCAAAAGTGGGAAAAGACCAGCTTTGTTCTTCAGAGAGCCACGAGGCAGCACTAGCAGAATTGAAAACATTTACCCGAAGAGCCAGCAAAACTGAGACAAAAACACTTAAATAGAGAAATTAAGTAACCCCAAACCAAAAAACTCATAAACGCTTATACACAAAGCACTACGTAGAAGAATATTCCTGAAGCTCTGACAGGTGCGGAAGGTGGGGGCCAAATAAGCTCATGTAGAAAAGGGGTGAGTGTAGGGGCATACTCTGATATTACCTGGCAGTGCACAGGAAATAAATGACCTACATCCGTGCGCAGGGGTGGATCTCAGAGTTGACCCTGAATGAACAATTCAGTGCCATCGAGTCCATGCTGACTCAGTGACCCTGCAGGACAGGGGAGACCTGCCCCTGTGGGTTTCTGAGGCTAAATCTTCACGGGAGCAGAAAGTCTCAAATTTTCCAGCGGAGTGGCTGGTGGTTTCTAACTGCTAACTTTGGGGTTAGCAGCCCAATGCTTAGCCCACGACGCCCCCAGGGCTCTTTTGAATAAGTAACGAAAACTAAGAAAGCTACCTGTAGAACAAACCACTTTAAAGAGTATTGTGTCCCGTTTGCTCCAAAGACGCCGCTGTATCCCGGCTGCTGAGGTGCACGACCACAGCCCGCAGTGGGGCCACCGGGCGTGGAAATGACTAGCATGGGGCCTGGTACTTTCTCTTGTTACCCCCAAAAAGTCAAGAACCTTGACGCTTCAGTATTAACAATGAACCCTTTGAGCTCATCCGGAATCTTGCACTCTTGGGAGTCACAAAGGGTGCCTGGGCTTGGACCCAGGGGAAGATCGATGCCAACGCACATAGAAATCTCTCAGAGACGCCATCCTGCTGATGTTGAAAGGAGACCAAGCCCTTCTCGTGGAGCCAACACAGAGAAAGCATTCCCCTGGAATTGGCCCTCGGAATTTGGACTTCTGACTTCCTAAACTGTGAGCGAATACATTTGTTAAAATAATTTTTTTAAAAAGATAGTGTAACTATATACCTACGCTTTGTCATAATTACATAATAATCATGAGAATAAACATATCTACCAAAGAATATAAAAACGGACTAGCTGTGTCCACACCAAACTCATCAGAGTAACTGTTCTAAGATGGGAAGAGATTATTGAGTTAGGATTTATTGTTAAAATGAAAAGAAAAAAAAAGTGACAAAAACGTTAATTGCTCATTCCGAGTGACCGGGGCAGTTTTCTTGATTATTTTTTATACTCTGGAATTCATCCAAATTAGGTTTGAAATAAATAAAAAGCAGCATTTCTAGCATCAAAAAGGGCCATAGAGGTCTGAGGGGTGTTAAGGAATGTTCTCAACCTGGAATTGCAGAAGAAAACACTCAAAACCCAACAGCAGGGAGACGTGGAGGCGGCGGACACCCAGCCCAACCACGCTACGAGGGGCGCTCTGCAGCCGCCCGAGGAGGAAGCACAGGTTCCAGGCGCAACCTGGTTTGCGGGTGGCCAGTGGCAGGGCACCCTGGGCAAGGAACTGGAGGAGGGGTGTGCTACCGCAAATGGCAGAGGTACCTAGCACAGGGCCCCCTAAAGCACTTGATGGGATGCCTAACGAAGGAGGGTGAGCCCAGAAGGCAGACGCAGACCCTCTGGCAGGGCTCCCACGGGACCTACTGCCGTCACTCGTGCAGCCCCATGCCAGGCCGACTGACCCTTTCATGGAAGCCGAGCCTGGCCTTCCACAGGCCCCTGCCCCAGGCCAGCATCTGTAGGGCAGGACTTGCTATTACTTCAGGGCAAGCTCTTGGCAGAATGAAGAGCAGCGTGACTCAACCGCTTATCCCTGAGTGCCACCAGGGGCGGGGGGAAGGGCATGCCACCTAGGTGCTCAATGTGCACAGTGTTGACGATCAAGAACCCTTTGATAGAGGGGTCAAGATGCCTGGGTAGGTTAGCTGGGATTTTCAGACAGGCCGGAAACACCATTTCCCCTAACTCCCAAAGCAATGGGATCCAGGCTCCCACTGGCTGAAAGTGCCCTATCCATCATCCTTTAAAGGCTAGACAAAATGCATTTAGCGAGGGATGGCCTCATTGGATTTTTTTGTTTTCTTTCACCCGGCAGATGTTTAATTTCAATAAACGTTTAATAGAGACAAGGGGCTCTCACTGATTTCATGCAAGGCCTCAATTCAAAATGCACACGATGAGGCCTGAGTTTCTCATTGGGAAGAATGCAGAGTGAGTGTGGGTCAGGGCTGGGAGCAGCTTCTCAGAAATCACAACTCTTCAGACACTGGTGGGTATTGTCATTTTAAATTCTTTTTATTTTCTCAGCATTTTCTTTTTCAGCAGTTAGTTGTGTGTGTGTGTGTGGAGGGGGATGTCTTCAGTGGGCTTTATTACATCAAACTTCCATTCCCAATTGACTGACTGACTCAGGGAACCATCTTTCAACCTAGCCTAGCTTTCTTCCCTGTTTTAAATTGCTATGTGTGGTAGTTACATCATCTGTTGTCCATTTGAGAGGATTAAGAGTGAATGGGGTGGAGTTCAGCCTGTCAATCAGGTCGCAGCTTGATGACCTCATTTGGAAGCGCTACAGAGATAAATAACTTTAGCTGACTGGGCACAGGTTCATTCCCTGGGAGACATTTCTGATGAGAAGCCACATGATGCAGCCAGAGCCCTGAGAGCTAAAGGAGCCATGTGGAGACCACTGCCAGCCAGCGCTGAGATGCTTCCACCGCCACTGGATCCACAAGACTGCCCACCCACTGGCCTGTGATCATCCTGTATTCAGCATCATTGCATGTGTTTCGTTGAGTCTGAAGAGGGTTTTATAGATTGGTATTGGACATATGGGCTAATATCAGACTTATGGACTTGATCTGGACTGGGCTTTCTTCTTACTATACAATTACTCTTTTATATAAAGTTCTCTCTTACACACGAGTGTCTCCCTGGATTTGTTTCTCTAATCAACCTGGACTAACACACTAAGGGATTTGAAAATGACTGTGCGGTAGAACAGCAGCGGGTATTACAGCACCGAGTTCTAGTGCCAGACCTCCTGACCTTCCTGGGCACCGCAGCCCTGCCACAAAGGGAAGTCACACTCATATTGTACGATTCCCAGGTTGAATATTTCTACATCACGGTATTCTAATTTACATAATTTAATATTCACAAATAAAAAACAAAACGATATTTTCATCGCTCAACAGAATCTGTATAAATTTGATTAATTAAAAAAATAATAATCAAAATCTTTGACTTGAGAAATAAGGAGGTAGGTGTAAGAAATGGAAAACCAAGTTACAACTGGCTGATTCTTGGCCCTAAGAAGGAATGAGGTGAGGTACTGACACATGCCGTGTGGGTGACGCTGGAAAACAACATGCGGAAGGAAGAAAGGCAGGAAGTAAGGAAGGGAAGGAAGGAAAGAAGGGCAGGCAGGCAGGCAGGCAGGCAGGCAGAAAGGGCCACGCGTTGCAGTATTTCTTTTACATCAAGGGTCAGCAGAAGTAAATCCGTGGAGAAAGCGAGGAGAGTCGTGGCTGCTACAGGCTGGGGCAGACAGGAGGAGGAGCTAAAGGAACATGTTGCTTCTTTGGGGGATCATGAAAATGTTCTAAGAAACAATGATGGTGATGTTTGCAGGACTCTATTAATGTACTAAGAAAATCACTGACCTACACACTTTAAATTGTTGAATGTTCAGGTGTATGTGAGTTATGTCTCATTAAAGTTCTTTCTATAAAATATATATACTCAGGTGGCTCTTGAAGGGGAGGAAGCTCAAGGGAGAGGAGGGAGATGGTCTCCCTTGGGTCACCTCTGCTGTCCCTTTTCACACTGCTCCCTTGGGAGTCCCTGAATGTTCTCAATCACAAAGCCCCTTCCTTTGACATCCTCAAGCCTCTCCCTCTCTTCCCCAGGCCAGCACCAGGAGGAACGGAGCCCAGCTCCAGAGGCGGCATCTGGGGCTGGATGAGCTCCTCTTGGTCTCTGCAGCCTACGTCTAAGAAGGTCCACTCTTTACCAGTCACTGGACATTCATTGCACACCTTGCTCCCCAGTGTACAGAAGGCTGGACCCTGCATCACTATGCCAGGCCAATCCACTAGGACCACCCCCGGTTCAGCTCCTCCTGGCTTAGTGCTTGTCTCCACCTCCACTGTGACATGGCCCCACCTGTTGTGCACCTGCACTGAACTCTGCTGACGTTCCCACCTCCTCACTCACCAGGGATCCAGGGCCTGGGCCTCCCTTGTGCATCTCGGGCTCCTGTGTCCCACAAGGCCCCAGAGCTGGGTCAGAAAGCCTGGGATGGGGTCTTGGAGCTGTCCAGCACAGGGGTCCAGTAAATACCATGCAGGCTCAGCCCAGATCCAGCACTGATGTGAAGACAGAAGGAGACAGAGGAGGGGATGCCCTCATCTCCAGAAATACCACCAAGGCACCAGACGATGGCAGATCTGGCTGACTGAGAGGGCCCAAGCCCTGGGTAATACTCGATCCCTGTGTTGCCCCAACGCTCTCTAGCCAAGCTCAATAAGCTGATCCATTCTGGTAAACCTTCAGCTGACTTCTTCGGATTAGCTCTTACAAATGGAGATACCATGTCAACAGGAGTGGCTGGGGCACCTGGGCACCCACCCTTTTGGAATGTGAAGGCAGGCCCTTCAGGAAACAGTGAAAGCCCTGTCTCACCTGGATCTGGTCTGTTGGGAGCCAGGTGGTCCTCCTCGCCTCCTCAGGGGTCCCCTCCATGGGCCAGACAGGGTCCCGAGGACACAGAGCTGAAGGAAAAAAGAGAGGTCATGGGGGTGAGGTGGGGAGCAGCTATCCCTTCTAGAGAGATTCCCCACAAGCCCTTCTTCCTCAGGAGGGGTGGGGACCTCTGTCCCTCCCCATTGGACAAGGAATGGGACCCACTTTGCTGAACTGCAGGTGAAGAGAACTCGGGAAAGGCAGGGAACCTGGCTAAGCCCCTCACGGCCACCCCCACAGGGGGAGGTCCATCTGAGAAGCAGCCCTCCGCCTCTGGGTGGGGCTGTCTAGGCCTCGGGCCCACCAGGCCTCCATGCTCGTTCTTGTGCGTGCTGCCCTGGTGATACCGGCGTCGTTTGGTCCCCCAATGGAACTTCCTGGTTGCCCTCGTTCCAACTTTTCTCTGAGGCAGATCTCGAGCAGATCCCTTTGCCCCAAAGTCCTTACCCGGCTTCCAGGCCCTGACTCTTGGCGGGGGCAAGTCACTGCCAGAAGAGACCACACCATGGCAAGTGATGGGGACACAGGAAGCCCATGGGCTGATGGCTGCCATCCCCCAGTACTGGTCTGTGAGGGCACCTGCATCAGAGAACAAGGTCAGGGCAGTGCAGGACACAGAAGGAACCCTCTGTCACAATAAAGGGTGCGACAAAGACCCATCAACAGAGTCAGGGGCATGTGTTTGCTTTTTCATCTTAATGAGCTAGATCTATACCAGATATGTATGGATGGCTATGGAATGCAGCCACGGAGCCCTGAAGAACAGAGCTGTTAAATAGGGGAAAGAGCATCCTTACCCCCAGGACCCCCACCCCTCTTCAGCCCTGACTCCTCGCCAGCGCAGAACACTGCTGGCAGAGAGCCACCTCCGGGGCCTAGAAGACACAGGCGTGGACTCACCCCACGAAGTCCATGGGTTGATGGCTGCCATTGCAGGGCGGATTACCAAGGAGCTTGCTCAGGAGGATGGATTCCGGGGATACCAGCCTAATGACAAAAGGGAAAAGTCACGGAAGAAGCCCTGTCAGAGGAAACCAGCCTCTAGCAACTGAAGGGTTGTGTATGGCAATGATACATAAAGATCATAGTAAAGTCACACAGGATAGCAGATAGACAGAGGAGAGAGAGCAAGAGTAAAATAAAGGAGTCAGACACATTTGGTAGCATGTTCACCTCAGCCCCTCTTGGTGGTCCACGTGGAGGCGGGAGAAAAGAGGAGGATGAGGGTGTCTTTACTAACTTGGGATATTTATAGGTAGCCACAAGACATGCATATTGAGGAGTTACATATGTCACAAGGTGGGTGGTAACGACAGTAAGGTCCCTGAGCTCACATGTGAGGAAACCTAATACCTGCATTTTGGGAAGGTACGAAGGGGATGGGTGCCGAGGCAGGAGGAGATAATAAAAGGATGTCTGCTTCCATAGAGAGATAGGATCAACCATGTGCTCACTTTAATGCAGCACAGCTGTTAGGGGAGAATCTATGGGAACGATATTTAAAGCAGGATAATGTACTTGGACTTTATCTCTGACTTGCCGAAGTGGAGGCTTTCCTACCGTGGAATATCAGCTTTCCAGATTTCCCTCTAAGTTAGGGATGATAGTTCTCATCCTATTTCCCTCAGTGTTAGTTTCCCACAAAGACTCATAAGGACAATGACAGGAACCCCATCCACAGAAGCAACAAAACATGCCTAAGGACCATTACAATGTACACGTCAAAGCCCTAACAAGTATCCTAGAGAGAAACTAGGGCAACTGGAGTCCTCTGGAAAAGAGCAAAACCTTGGAAGAGCGGGTGGAAATTTGTCTACTGTTCTCAAGATGATTTACATACAGGCTCAAGAGGCAGGCAGCCATGACACTTTAATAAACTTGACAATAATTATTGTATATCCACCTGCCCCCCTGATATTAGGTTAATAGGAATATAAATGGAGCAGTCCCTAAGGAAAAGTTGCCATACCAACCACCATCTCACTGTCAAGTCGATTCCAACTCAGTGGCCCTCTAGACAGAGGAGGGCTCTCCCTACCTGATTCTAAGGCTGTCAGTCCTAAAGGGAGCAGAAAGCCTCATCTTTCTCTTGTGGGATACCTGGTGAATTAGAACTGCTGACCTTGTAGGTAGCAGCCCAACACTTAAGAAGTTCCACTCCTGTGTGTGTGTGTGTGTGTGTGTGTGTGCGCGCGCGCGCACACAGCACACACACTTATGTAAACCAGACCTTGACATGCTTGCTTTGTTTCTCCGGGTCTAGAGTTTCCAACCTTGGTTTGCCACTTTCCTATTAGTGGTTTTAGTGGGGAAATTCCTAGTTTCCTTCTCTGACAGGCTCCTTGCTGTCTCAGCTTCCGACATTCACAGGTTTTACTGTATATATCATCCAAGAGAAGTGAGAACCGGTGCTCAACAAAACGTGTGCATGAATGCTCACGGCAACATTATTCGAAGCAGCTCCCCACGGGAATGAGGCCAAATGTCCACCAGCTGACAGATATGCAGAATGTGGTCTATCCATGCAGTGGACTGTGGTCCAGCCCTACAGCGGAATGAAGGGCCGATGCATGCCACAACACAGATGGACTGTGGAAACGCCTCAGTACATGAATAAAGTCAGACACAAATGTCATCTACCATGTGTCTGTTGACGTGATATACTCATCATAGGCAAATTCCTAGAGACAGACAGTAGATTACTGATTGCTGGAGTTTGGGGGCCTGGGAGGACCGCTTAATGGGTATGGGGAGTTCTCTCTGGATGTTGTTCTGCATTGCATAGTACTGATTGCCCAACATCGTAAACATACTAAAACCACGAATCACATAGTTTAACATGGTTAAAACAGTTAATTTCTTGTTGCATCAATGCTCAATCTGAGTTTTAAAAAACGAACCTACTAGGCCTACCAAGTCCAACTGCTGTCTGTCTCCTCTGATAGTGGAATATTCACCTCGAGGGATGCTACTTAAGCTACCACTCGGCACGTAACATGGGAGATTCCAGGGGTCACAAAGTTGGGGGCACAGGACTCCACGACCCCCCGGGGGTGTGTACCCAAATCCAAAGTAGGCAAACTGTAGGATTCTGAACCGTTGCTTGAAGTCTGCCAAAATCCTCCAGTCACTGCCTGCGTATGTGGCCAGGGGCTATTCCCAGCGCCGTTCGAAGCCCGCCAGCGCTTTCCGTGAGCCGCTCCTTTGAGAAACGCCTGCAGGGGAATCAAAGGTGGGCATGCCCACGAAGGGTCTCCAAGGCTTCCTCCTCGCCTGCGCACGGGATGCCCAGCCACTCATTTCCCCTGGTCCCTCCTGCCCCCTGCGTCCTCCACGTTCCTCCTCGCAGGTACAACGCTCTCAACTGCCAGCGGCCAGCCTTACCTGGTTCGAAGCCAAGCCGCCCTCCTTCGAGGTCGCTTCCCAGGGCCGTTTGGCTTTTGTCCAGCGCCAAGGTCCGACCGGGCGTGCTTAGGGCCCCTGGGATGAGGAGCTGACGACCCCAAACCGAAGCCAGGCCTGGAGTGCGCAGTTTACTAAATAAAGTCCGCCCGGTGCAGCGACGCCGAGCCGGGGGAGGGGCGCTGAGGGGGAGGGGGTCTGCTGGCCGCAGGGGGCCCGAGGGACACCAGGGCGTGGGCTGCCCGAGGAGCAGGCGCAAGGGGTGCGGGGCCGCCCGTGAGCTCCCCGCTTCGATCCGCTCACGCTCGGGCCCCCCGGTCCCTCCTCGGCGGCGCGGCTGCCCCTCGGCGGCGGCGGCAGCCTCCCCTCGGCCACGGACAATGGCGGCCGCTCCCGGGACGGCTACAGCGCCGCCGCGAGGGCTGCCGGGAGTTGTAGTTTCGGCCGCGGGGCGCAGGGGCCGCACGCCCTGTCTGGCCGGAAGCGCGCTCGGGGGAGGCACCTCTCGGCGGCCCCGACCCCCCGGGGGCTGGGGATGGGTCTGCTACTCGAGTCGCACTCAGTAGCCGGACGGGCGAGGTGACCCTGGCCCCGACCACTAGCCCTCACCCCCCACCCCCAGCGCCACTGGCTGCCCGGCCTGTTTGCCCTTCTGGAAAATGACCCCTACCCCGTGATAGCTGTTTAACAAAAGGAATTCGTGAAGCTTGTTTGTGTTCCGTGTCCCAGACTCAAAATTGAGTGTGTGTGTTTTGTTTTGTTTTGTTTTTGGGGAGAGATCAATTTAATTTTTAAAAGTTTATTGGCATTAAAAAATGTTTTTTAATTTTTTGTTAAAAAAATGTTTTTATGGCACAAATGGCTACCGTGCTTGGCTGCTAATGAAAAGGTTGGCGATTCAAACCTACTCAACCGCTCCTTCCGAAAGACCGAGTCATCTGCTCCCCAAAGGACGGCAGCTAGGACATGCTATGACACCACCCGGCACCGGGAGTGAGAATGGAATGCATGGCGCCCAACATGTGAAATTGGGGCGTGAAATAATGAAGACCTTAAAATCAGTGCATTTGAATTATGGTGTCGCCGAAGATTATTGAAAGGACCATGGTTTGCCAAAACAGCAAACATCTGTCTTGGAAGAAATACAGCCAGAATGCTCCTTATAGGCAAGGAAGGTGAGGCTTGGTCCTACCTATTCTGAACATGTTGTCGAGAGACAGTCCCCACAGAAGGGCTGCAGGCTTGGTGAAGTAGAGGAGGGAGACCTTTGATGAGATGGATTGACCCACTGGCTGCATCAGTGGACTCCAAGCTGAGAATAATGGCAAGGCTGGTGCAGAACTGAGCGGTGTTTCCTTCTGTTGTGTAGAGTCGCTGAGTCTTTCAACAGCACCCAACAGCAACAATAATAGCAAGATTTAAGAAAAGTGTTCTTTTTTTTTTGTAATGCTTAGCTTCCCCTCTAAGTACATAGAGCTCAGCTACTAATAACATTAGAGAATGTCAAGCATATTTGTACATTTGTGGCCCTCATCATTGCCAAAACATCTTTCTACTTGAGCCCTTGGTATCAGCTCCTCTTTTTCCCCCCTCCCTCCCTCCCTCTCTCCCTCCCTCACCCCCCCTCCCTGACCTCCCTCTCCCACCTTCCCTCCCTCATGAACCCTTGATAATTTATAAATTGTTATTAGTCTCCAAACTTTTTATAAGATGGCAAAGTTCTGTAGGCTCAGAAAGGGTCACCCACCTCCTTTGTGATTTTCCTGGGGTCAATTTGTAACCAAGCAGTCCTGAGGCATCAGCAAGGGAACAAAGAGAACAAAGCTTCTCAAAGAGCTACTATTCAAGAGCTTGCACAGGAGAGAGGAAAAGGTGCTTCCTTTCCCAAAACGCTGAGGACCCCTGGGGGGAACCCACACACCGCAACCTCCAGGTTCCTGAAGGGTCCTTGGTAAAAGAAGTTCAGAGAAGCCACCATACGCCTTCACCCCACTCCTCCACCCCACTACCCCACCACGCCCCTGGCCTCTGATATCCATCTTCCTGCCAATGTAAAGGTGATGTTCACCTCCAACTATCCCAGTTACCCAACCCCTCATCCATTTGTATGCCCCCCTCTCAACTGTTTGCAGGGTCTGCTCTGGGCTGATTGTCTTCCAGTAGCTGGAGGCTCTAGGTCAGTGATTCTCAACCTGTGGGTTGCAACCCCTTTGGGGTCGAACAGCCCTTTCACAGGAGTGGCCTAAGACCACTGGAAAACACTTATTTCTGATGGTCTTAGGAATTGAGTTACCTCTCCTCTATCCGTCTCCAGGAGGGTCTGCCCACATGCAGATACGCCCACATAGGAGTACCTGGCATGAAGACTGTTACTCATGCTACACTATGCTTCAAGACAAAATTTCATTTATTTGTCATTAAATAAATATTTCACAATATATAATTATATATTGTTTTTGTGATTAATCACTATACTTTAATTATGTTCAATTTGTAACAATGAAAATACATCCTGCATAGCAGATGTTTACATGATGATTCATAACAATAGCAAAACTACAATTATGAAGTAGCAATGAATATAATTTTATGGTGGGGGTCACCACAACATGAGGAACTGTATTAAAAAGGCGCGGCATTAGGAAGGTTAAGAACCACTGCTCTGGATGAAGACCCACTTTCACGCATCAGCTCACACTTTCACGCGTGTCACTCACCTTGCCTGGGAGAAAAGCGAGGCTGTCTGCTCCTGTAAAGATCTACCATCTCGAACCCCCTAAGGAGCAGGTCTAATCGGTCCCATCGGGTCACTAGGAGCACGATGGACCGCATGGTGGTGAGTAGTGGGCTCCACAGCCCAGCCTGGAATGGCCATGGCAGGCCAGACCTGTTTGTGTCCCATAAAAATTCAGTACAAGAAGAGGGCAGACACATACAGAAAAATACAATAAAGGGAGGTCTGTGCTGGGACCGAGTATCTTGTGGAAGACGTAACACTGAAGGATCAACTGTATTTAGAAGGGGAGGCCTGGCCCAGACGCTTAAGCTGGGTCGTGAGTGGAAGGATGTGTGAGCGGCTGCAGGAGAAATGCCGCTTAAAATAAGTGATGTGAAGAGTTTCAGAGACGGGCACGAGGATGCCATCAAAATGAGGGAGGAGGGGGTGTGATGCACCATTTACACTGTCCCTTACAAGGAGCCATGGAAGTTGGGTTTTTTTGTTGTTTTTTTAAGGGTTATGATTATAAGTGAATTTGTACAGATTAGTCCGACAGCCAGTGTGGAGAAAAGACTGTGGGAGGGGAGAGTGAAGAGGAGACGCTCGTAGTGAGGAGGATTTTGGAGGGATTTCCAGGAAAGATAAGGGGTGTTGATTCAAGATGGAAACCCGAGGCCTGGGCTTGTGTAAATTGTTGGAACTCACGGTGGACTAGCAGCAAGGAGGAGTGGTTTCAGAGGGCAGCTGGGTAGTTCCAGGGGCTGGCCCTGGTGGCATAATGGTGACTCTGAGGCACAAAACTTGGGAGAGCCAGGGGGACAGGGAGGTGGGCTTGGGCAAACAGGAAACACTTTGGGCGGAAACAGTCCATGGATAGTATCCCTGTAGTTCCCAGGGTGAGAACTGAGCAGAGAAAGATGCTAATGAAAGAGCAATTGCAACAGTTAAAGGATGGTATCACTGCCTCCACTCCGACCCCTTACAATTATCCTCCAGCCAGCAACCAGGCAGGGCTTAGAATTCCAGCTCCGATCCTTGCCTAACGGCCTGTGCGCTTTGTCTAGTAATTTGGATGTAATCCCACCTCTGGTCCAAGGCTTGAGAACCTGCACAGCTGATCTCTGCTCCCCAGCCACGCCCACAAGCATGTCTCTTGTCACTCTCCGCTCTCTTCTGGGATCCAGTCGTTCCTCCACAGCAGGCTAGTCACTCTTTCAGCAAACATTACGCACCTACTACGTGCCTGGCTCTGACTTAGTAGGATTCTAACGTGAACAAAAAAACCCCACTCCTATACTTAAGGAAGGAGGTAGACAAAAAATATAACAAGTTGAAGTAGAAGAGAATGCTTTGGGGGGGACGGGACAGAGCAGAGTGGGGGATTGCATGCATTCCTGGTGTCCCCACCCACTGCCCCAATGTGTTAATTTGGCTGGCATGATTCTCAGTTATATAATGACGTAATCTGAAAGCTCTGTAATGATCCCCCATGAAGCGATCCATTCAGTTGGAATACTCTCACAGCACTAATCCAATGTCAGTGGAGTTTCCTTGGTGTGTGGAAACATTTTGTTTTAAATCATTTTATTGGGGGCTCTTACAGCTCTTATAATATTCCATACATCAACTGTATTAAGCATATTTGTACATAATGTTGCCATCATCATTTCCAAAACATTTTCTACTTGAGCCCTTGGTATAAGCTCCTCTTTCCCTCCCCCCCCCAACCCTTGTGCATCCTTGATCAATTATATATTGTTACTGTTATTTTGTATCTTATACTCTCCGTTGTCTCCCTGTTGTCTCCCTGTACCCACATTTTGTAATTTGTCCCCTTAGGGCGGTGGCTATATATCTAAACTTGTGAGGGGTTCCCTCTTTCTCACCCTTCCTCCTCTCTGGCCATCCTCCTACCCTCATGATAATGCTACTCCTATTACTGTTCCTGAGCGGTTTATTTTGCCTGAATTCCATGTGTGGAGAGTGCTTATCTGTACCAATGTATGTTCTCCAGTCTAGCCAGATTTGTAAGGTAGAACTGGGTCATGGTGGTGGGGGGAGGAAGTATTCAGAAACTAGAGGAATGATGTGTGGTTTGTCGATGCTATACTACAACATGGTTGAATCGTCCCTTCCTTATACCACTTCTGTGGGGGGATATCCAATTGTCTACAGATGGGCTTTGGGTCTCCCCTCCAACCCTCCTCTTTTGCATCGATATAGTTGTTTGTTTTGGATCTTTAGATGTCTTTAGATGCCTGATCCCGTGTCGCAACATTTTTTATCTTACAAAAGAGAAAAGGAGATAGAAACAAGCAGAGAGAGAGAGACCTACTATCACCAAAAAAAAGAGGAAGAAGCAGAGCGCTTCTTTGGGATCCTACTAGATTCAGGGTACAATTGATGCCAAAATACACAGAACCCACAGATGTGAAATGAGACAAGGACCTTTCCCCAGAACTGACACAGAGAGAATCCCTTCCCCAGAATTGATGCATTAATTTCAGATTTCTAGCATCCTAACTGTGAGAGAATCAAATTATTTGTTAAAGCCATTCAGTTCTATTTT